GTAATTGAGATAAGAGACTGTGGGTCAGTGTTGAGATCATGGTTTTCATTTTCAGAAGCTTCTACAGTTTCCTATTATTTAGGAAAAGTCCAAAGGGCTACACCAACCACAAGGCTTGGCTGCACACAATCCTTACAGCTCATCCCTGGACTTGGCCCTGACATTCTGAGGTCCACTGTTCTCTTGAGTAAGTGCATGAACTCTCTCAAGTTTTTACACATGGTGTCACCTCCCTAAATATTTGCAGTCACCACCCTTCCCGTCTGAGGTCACGTTAACCTTCCTAGACACTTAACTGTCACTCCCCAGAGAGCTTCTCTGGTTCCTCCATCCCTCCAGTCTCCCTGCTGGTTTCTGTCAACAGGGTCCCATCCTTCTCTCCTGACTTTTCTCATTCTGGGATAGTTTCTTGACCATGGCCTTTTCATTTCTCACCTTCAGAATTTCAAGCTGAAGAAGTGAGGGGAGGTCATTTTCCCCTCTTGGAGGAGCCTGGATCATGGCCAGGCCTAAGGAGCATTTGACAGAATATTCTAGAAAGGGTGAAGAGGTTTGAGTGGGAGGTGGGGGTTTGGGGTCAGGCTGAGGCACAGCAGGGGGCAGGATTTTGTGTGGTCTCCATTGTAGCCCTCAGGTTGAGCTGAGGACACTATTGGTGCTTTTTCAGAAGGAGTCCCCCCTCCACGCGTCTCTCTGGCTCTGAAATAGCAGCGATGCACCCATTTGGGTGCTGGCCTTTGAGAATGTGACCTGACTGTAAGTGTCACTACCAGTCTGTTCTGGTTGGCCATGGCAGGATTGTTCTCTCTTGTTTTAACCCCCCCCAACTGTTCTTCTCTTCTGGACTGTGGGTAAGCAGCAACACTTCTTGTCTCCTTGAGCAGTGGAAGGAAGATGGAGACATCCCTGACATTCTTCAGAAGGTTTTAATTTGGGGGACACGCACTTTGATAGGTTTGGAGCTCACTAAGCAGAGTAGGCTAGGCTAGCAGCCTGTGAGACTAGTGGATCTTCCTCTGTGTCCCCATCACAGGGTTATAGGTTGGGCTTTGGGGATCAAACTCAAATTCTCAGGTTCAAATGCCAATGCTTTATCCTTGAGCCATCTCGAAAGCCTCAGCAGAGATGTTTTCTTGGCTAAGAGTGGGAGATGGAATGGTCCATCAACTTCTCCACGATTTGGGAGCTGGAGGTCATAGACAAGGACTTAAGAAAAGGGGGAGGGCGTGGGCTAATGAGAGGGTGGAGTATTTGTGCTTTTTTGGAAATGAAGTTAGGTTTTTCCAGATTTTGAGTCCTTTTCTTTTCTTTTGTGGCTTCTCTCTCTGTGTGTCTCTCTCTCTGTTTGCATGTGTGTGTGTGTGTGTATGTGTGTGTGTGTGTGTGTGTGT